GGCCTCAAGTTGTGCCAGGGGAGGTTTAGATTGGACAGTAGGAAACATATCTTCACCAAAAGGGTTGTCAAGCATTGGAACAGGCTGCCCAGGGAAGTGGTTGAGTCCCCATCCCTGGAGGTATTTAAAAGACGTGTAGATGAGGTGCTTAGGGACATGGTTTAGTGGGTGGTGGTGTTGGGTTGACGGTTGGACTCGATGATCTTCGAGGTCTTTTCCAACCTTAATGATTCTATGATTCTAGAACAACAATGATCTTCTGTTCACAAGTTGGTGGTATTAAGGCAATGACTTGCCTGACCTTAGATTTAAGAGCTGTGATCCTGACTGTTGTTACCATAACAGGACCATCGATTTAGATAACTTAAACTTTTGAAATAAATTCTGAATATGCTATTCTGGCAGAGCTGAAGAAAATGGTACCGTTGACTTTGGATTTTGTGAGGTTTCTGTTGGCTTATAACTCTTAACATGTCTATATATGTGATTCAGTAGAATCTGTTATAATGTGGTCATGTTGACAGAACACTGGTTGTTTGCCTTGCAAACTTCTGAGAGTGTCGTGGGAGCTTGCTGATGTGTGTAATTGGGAAGTACTGCTGTCATCGCAGGTTGGAAAGGCAGTCACAATGTTCACAGATGCATTTACCAGAAAACGGTGTATCCGAAAGACTTCAAAATTTCTTGCAAGAGGCAGACTTAGAACAGTTTTTAAGTCTTGCATAGTAAGTTTTGCTGAAAAACTTGTTTTGTGACAGAAATCTGGAAGGGAAGAACATCTACCTGCAGACCAGCCACTGAGTTTACAGTGTAGTTGGGAGTCACAGTTGAGGACTTGAGTTATAGTATGGGGTGTGGATTTTACTTAAAACTTGAAGCCTGCAGAATAGAACAATGTTTAACCCCCTTTCCTTTGAAAATGCCAACTGCTGTTACAAGGGAAAACAAAATAGTAAGCTGAGCCCAAACTGTCTTACTGCTATGGCCACCTTAAAAATGAGGCAGCCAGGAGTGAAGGGATAAGTCTGTCTTTTGCACTGTAACAGCAGTTTGACTCACTCTGGTAGCATCAGACAACAAATGTGTTCAGATCTGATCATTGTGAGCGGAGGGGTTTTATGCAGAGACCAAAGAATGATAAACAGGGCCCAAGAGGAAGTGATGCTGAAGAGATTCCTTCTGTTCCAAAGCTTGGTTCATTGGAGTTGCACATCTCAACATCTAACCCTTTCGATGATGGATAAAGCTTCTACACTTTATAAGGAAATTAAAATTTGATCCTTGAGTAGAAAACATGTATTTGCTGTTGTAAACTGTGTCTAAAACAATTGTTCTAAACAAACTTGTTTTGAAAGTGTTTTTTAAGCTTGCTAGTTTTCTTCCCATTCAGGTTTTTGAAAGTACTTGACTAACAGAATATGAGGCATGGAAGAGTTTTAAGGTGATCAACTGCTTCAGGCTGAGCATCATCATCTTTCCCCAGGTTGATCTAGGCTTCTAAGACAGGCTTTCAGGTAAAAACTGTTCTGTTTCACAGTTGATGCCACTTAGTAATAAATAAGCTTTTCACAGGGTTTCTTCCAATAATATAATTATTTGCAGTCTAGAGGGTTAAAATGTGTATGTTTTGGATGAAAAAGCTAATTAGATTTGTATGTACCTTTAACTAGTCTTCTTAGACCATCATTGGGTTATTAGGTTTTTATTTGTGGGGTCTGCTGTGGTGGAGGTGTTTATTTAACCTGATTTTCTGTGGAAATCTTCTGAATTCTGTTCCATGAAATTCAGTGGAATTATATACTTTAATATCTTCAAATGGAGAGACACACTAAAACTAGTGTTCCCAGTCAGTGAAAGTCAGACAGAACTTATCCTTTATTTGTGTTAGGGAGAAGCAGTTGGCTGGCCAGTTAAGATAAGAGTAAACCTGGTTTTGGTTTAGTTAAAGATCACTCTGACAAGTCTTTAAAAACAATCATCTTAAGTAATGTGTTTTGAGAAGGGTCATGGTTTGTATGCAATATTCAATATACCAGTAGCTGGAAAAGGAGAAATTGCCGATTATGTTTTACAGCAAAAGGAAACAATAGAATTGTGATTTTTGCAGTTTTTAAGAATACTAAGTTTAAAATTTGGGCTTTTTTTGGTTAAAAAATATGTAAGTTTCTGCTTCTATTAATGCAGGGTTTTTTGGTGGTGTTTTTTTTTCCTCAATGTTAGACAATCCAATGGCAGACCAAAGGATGGACATATCTTCTACAATTAGTGACTTTATGTCACCAGACCCTGCTGACTTGATCTCCAGTTCTCTTAGCACTTCAGGAATGGATTGTAATAGGAAAAGAAAGGGAAGCTCTACCGATTATCAGTAAGTTGGATTTCTCTTGATTTAAGACTGCTAAAAAGAGGTTGTAATACAACAATACAGTGGGGGAGACGATAGAAGTACTTATAGCAATTTTTAAATAACCTTTTCTTGACAACCTGTCGTAAAGGTTTTAATAAAGAAAAAAGCTACTATGCACTAAGAGGAAAGTTCATTATTTAATAATAAAAATAAAGCCTTCATCTCGGTGCAGCTAGAATTGAGGGCTATCAAATGGGGTAAGGCTGAGGAAAGAAACCTTTGGCTGATGAGGGAGAAAAAAATACTGATGAAATGTACAGTGTGAAGGTTGATTATATTGACCATTTACATAGGAAATAGAATGTCTGACTAGCGGGAGGGAAGATAATAAATTCATTAAAAAGCAGAAGTGAAACTGGGAATAGTTCCTTTTCTTCACTTATTTTTTGCCTTTTTAGTCACTTCCTATCAGTGTGCTGCCAGCCTTTGCCTGATGAAGCTATTTTGGTCTCCCAGTTGAATATGAATCTGAGCAGTCTCTGGTTTGCGGCAGTAGATCTGCCTTTCATTTAATCAACTGATTTAATCTTGTGTTGATCCTTGACTGTAAGCTATTACTCCCGACAAAATAAAAACTTGGCTGCTTCTGAATCAGTGGTAGAATGTGGTTTTGTTTCAGGAAAGCTGCTTCTCTTTAAGGCAGGCTTGCTAATAACAGTGCTCAGAAGCACTGTCCAAGCCATAGCTTCTCTCTTGCGGCAGGTGTTTGAAATAGAAACAAATCACACCAACTCTGCTTTAGAATAGTAAAGGTCGTGATAAAGTTTGTCAGATTTCCAAACCTTTCTGCACTAAGTACACCAAGACCAACCTACTTAACTCTAAGTCACTGTGCAAACCTCATGTATTGTAACTTTGCAAAGTCTAGTGGCAGGGTAACTTGTGAATGGGTCCCATCCATTATTAATACAGCTATGTAGTCCATTTTTATGTAACTTAGCACAAATTTTATCATTGTGGGCCTTTGGATTGTTGGCAGCTCTTTTTAGAGGGAGGAGTAGAATTTTTAATCCACACTGAGCATGAATTAAGAATTAGGTTCCCTGTGCATAGGACTTCTTTTTAGGAGAACTTATGCGCAAAATGTTAAGTACTGTTTAAAGACCACAAACATGCGGCATACGTACCTTCTCTAATATGCATTTAGTCTTCCTGAAAAGTACATGACTCCCTCTAGTTGAATTGACTACTACAAAATTCAGTGAACAGCCTCAATCTTACCAACCTCCTCTTCTCTAGAAAGCATTTCTCCATCTTTATTCTTCTGGGTAGGAAGCATTGCTCAAGTCCTCTTTTCCAAAAGACAGCTTGCTCTTGTAAGTTACAATTCTGCCCTTTAGGTTGTGTGTGCATTTTATTAAATATGTGAAAACACTGTTTCCTTGAATCCTAAGTAAAATAAGTTTACAACAGCTGTCATCAACCACAGTTCATGTTGTGTTGCAAAGGAAATGGTGGCTAGTAAATATTCCTATTTTAAAATAGAACTTAAGGTAGACTTCCTTGATCCCTCCTTCTATATGTATGTATCAGTAAATGTTGTTAGGAAATGCTACTGTTCAGCTTTTGCTGCCTGTTAACAATTTATTTTTTACATAAATTGTCTGAGTGTCCAGTTGTACACTTCATTTACCAGTGAAGTCAGGGAATAAGGAAGGAAGAACCTGGCTGTTTTAGTGTGGTTCTTCATTCACCTCTCAAGTACAAGCAAGCATATTGATCAGCTGTGCTTTCAGCTCTCCACACCAGCTTCTTCTCAATTCTTTCTCCTGCCACTCCTCCAGGAAAATTCCTGTCCAACCTATTGCTGTCACTTCAGCAAAGGTTGTCTGTTCTCCACTAGGGTCTGTTTTAGTCAAATGCTGGAATCCAAGACTTCCTGCACAGGTCTATAAACACTTAATTTATTTTCTTGGGAGTAGTGTTTTCAGTTGAAATAATATATGATAAGAAAACAAACTATCCTGAAGCATTTGTAACTTACCTTGTACCTCTTTTAGATTTTGCTTTCTGGGTTTTTCTAAGGCTAAAATGAATTTTGTCACAACAAGCATCCTGTAGCTAAAGGTGGCATCGCAAGTGGAAAACTGATGCCTTGTTTCTAAGTCCTGTTCTAGACCTGCATGCTGTTTCTTTGTGAGCATCAGAAGGGCTTTGAGCCATTGACTAAGACAGTAACTCAAATGTGCAAATTGAGAGATGAAGAAAACCTTTAGCATTTTCAAACTTCTTTTAAAAACTAATCACAAAGATAATTGATTTAAAACTGCAATGAATAATATATGAAAGACTACCATGTTTGTTTTTAAGAAGGCTAATGTCCGACGTTGAACAGGAATAACTGGTATGTTAATGGCTAATATGAGAAGATTTTTCATAAGGGTCTTATAAAACGTAGCCCTTTAACATGTTAAAGCTCAGTGGTATTTCAGATCACTTTACAGTCTTGAAGTGATGCCAGCAGTTAGCTTGCATGTAGAAATTCTGTTTAATTTCCTTATGATATGATAAAGTCTGTATAAAGTTCAGAATTAGGACTTTAGTACTGACTAAAAGAAAACATTCACCTGTCCTGCTGGGCAGAATCAAAACCTGAGAAACTTGGGATACATTTTTAAATTTTTTTTATTTCTGGCCTTAGAGTCCTCTGAAATCCCATTTACCTAACCACAAGGGCAACACACATAAGGCACAGATCTTTCATTTCTGAAGACGAAACAATATCTCAATGATTTGCATAACATAATTTAGGTTAGTTGTTTTACTAGTTTTTCACATTAGTGTAATGAACTATGCTCTCTCTTCTTAAAAAGCAGAATTATTCTTTCAGAAAGTAGATTAGTTTGAACAAGCTTGTCTCCTTAGAATACGTTCACTGCTATTGTCTTGTTTTCATTGTGCTTTTCATTTCAAATAGAATATACATTAGCTTGAGAATTTCAACAGAAAATGTAAGACGATATTCTTATTTCCTATATATGGTGTACTTTATTTTTCTTTCTTTTTCAGACTTGATGGCTTTCCTTTCTAGGAAGTATAAATATTCTAATAATCGGTTTCACTTGAAAAAGATGCTCGGTGTTTTTCCTTGCCTTTCCCTTCCCTTTACATAAAATTTGTAGGTAAAAATTAAACCAGAATTAGCCAGGCTTAAGAGTGTCCTTTTAAGCACAATTATACAGATTTATATATATCAGCATTCTCTTCCTAATTCTTTTGTCTAACAGTGCTGTAGTCTTAGGCATTCAACTTTTCTCACCAGATACGGCTGAAAACTTAGGCTTTCCTCTCCTTATTTCTGTACATATGGTTACAATATTAAAATGTAATAAGGGGGATCCTTTTTATTCTTCATCCTTCCTTCCTTAAATCTTTTTTTTTTTCATGTTGAGGCAAAAGTAAGCCATGTTATCTACACTGAAAGTTGTACTAATTTAAAATGTGCCTGGTTAGTTTCATACAGTCTCTCATTCTGTCCATGCATTTGGCCATTTCCAATGGTTTGTTGGTCTAGATTATTATCATCCTCTACCCCAAAATCAACTACCATAAGGCAAACTAATGTGTAGAACGCACAGACATCTGCACAAAGTAATTCAGGGCAATTTGTGTGTTTTGTGCTAGGCACTTCGATAACTGCCTCTGGTCGAACTTTTGACTATAGGAAATGCAAGTTAGTAGCCCTATTTCTGGTGAAAAATATCTGCTTTGATACATCCTTCCCCCCCCCAGTTAACTGAAAAACATTTTTATAACAGATGATGTCTTTGAACTGCAGCATGTTTTACTGTCAAACACATCAAACTGTGCCATTTTGTTAGCTCCAAAGGAGACACAACTAATTTAAGAAAATGTTATAATATTACAAAAACCACACAACTTTTTCAGTCCTTCCAGGTTCTCACTTTTATATTCTTATTTTTGTATTTAGGATTTAAAGATGACAGGAATACTTTATTCTAATTTTATGACAGTTTGATAACAGTTTTGCTAATCCTGCTGAATTTGTAAAATATTGCTTTATTCTGTTCCTGCAGGGAAGGTATGGATACAGATAAAGATGACCAACATGGAAGGTACTGTTGATAGAGTCACTGAAATGTTAGTTCCACAGTACTGATATAGGATCCTGTGTGTAGATACCTGTTTTCAGTGTCACTGTGGTCAGGTGTCCCAAATTGTTTCTTTGCTGGGACAAAGCCTTTTAAGATTGTTGAACAAATTCAAACAAACAAACCTGAACACTTTGAGCCACAGTGTTATAAATAATGATATTTTTCTGAAGAAAGGTTAAATAAATATTCAAATCTTAAAAAAAATATTTTAATGAGGATCAGTAGGTAAGATGCATTAAAAGAATTGTTTTCAGTGTTTTCGACACTAACTTTGTGATACTATTTCTCAACAGATTGGAGTATACAGACCAACAAGGCAGAATAAAAAATGCAAGGTAATACTCTAAACAAATATATTGAAAACAGTCGATCTCTTGCCTTTTGCCATATGCAAATATTTCATATGTATTTCTTGTCCTAAAAATCTTTTTTTGTAGCTTTGACCTTCTCTTATTTTTCTATATTTTTGCACTGTTAACATTTTTCATGTATAAACTGCATATAGTTTTGTGAAAATGCTAACTTGGTAGGTAACTTGGTTTTAGTCACTTCTGTTTACTATTAACACTGAAATTGAAGCCTTTATATGTTTCTGATAATGTTACTTTCTTCTTGTCCTAAAAATCTTTTTTTGTAGCTTTGACCTTCTCTTATTTTTCTATATTTTTGCACTGTTAACATTTTTCATGTATAAACTGCATATAGTTTTGTGAAAATGCTAACTTGGTAGGTAACTTGGTTTTAGTCACTTCTGTTTACTATTAACACTGAAATTGAAGCCTTTATATGTTTCTGATAATGTTACTTTCTTAATCTTGTTTCTTTCAAATTCAATAGTGGGTTGTAAAAGTGTTAACAGTGACTCTTTAATATGGGAAAATACAAAGCAAAAATAAGTGTTTATCATCATTTTCCTGGTTAGTTAGAGTTTAGTTCAGAGGTACCTCAAATATTTCAAATGGAAAGCTGTAGGATGAGTAGAAGACTTAGATTGCCACAGCAAAAGGTAGTTTTAAATACTTAGTACATTCATATAGTATGCTGATTACAAATTCTTAATTGAATGCTTTATTCAATATTTATATACACTGGAATTTGCTTATCTGTGACCTTTATGATTCCAGTTACATTTCAGTGTATGTGCTAAGAAAAAATGTTGTACAGCAGTAGAAATCTCTAGACAGTTTTGTACTGTTCAGTGGATTGTTTCAGAACTGAGGATTTAGTATACTGTATGGCCAACATTATATGTGTTTTCTGGTAAATTGGCGCTGCGTGCTGCAGCCTTGCCTATTGCTTGTAACTGTTACTCACCCAATTAATGAACATAAAATGTCTGAAGAATTCTGTATGTGGATGTCCTTTTTTCACAAGGATCAGAGGGTAACAATTATCAGGAGGAGGTTATTTTTGTGGTTTTGTTATACTGGATTTAGGGATTTTTTTTAATGTGATTTGTTTTCTCATGCTTTTCTGTTTTTCCTCACCACCTTACTTATTTAGGGAGGCTCATAGTCAAATTGAAAAAAGGCGTAGAGATAAAATGAACAGTTTTATAGATGAACTGGCATCTTTGGTACCAACGTGCAACGCGATGTCTCGAAAGCTAGATAAACTCACTGTATTGAGAATGGCTGTCCAGCATTTGAAAACACTACGTGGTAAGTTGATTGGGGGTGTCCAGCATATGAAAACACTACGTGGTAAGTTGATTGGGGGTGGAGCGGGGGGACAGGACAGGACTGGAGGAAGATGGCAAAATGGGGTTTCCCCAAAGCCACACTTTTTCTCTCTCTTTCTTACCCTTTTGCCAAAAAGGAGTAAGTTAATACATTTTGGGAGGACTTCTCCCCTTTTCTTAGCATTTGATGCTGCGCCTTCATTTATAGCTTACTGGTTCATGGTCCAATATCTTGATCGGACTGGGAAGTTTGTGGGTGAGAAAAGAGTGCTTTTCCATCCTCTGACCTGATTGATTACCATCACTAGAGTCAACAAAAGCAAGGGAGCTGAGGCGTGTGGGGGCAGGGAACAAAGGGCTTAAGTGGCAGTGCACAGTTGAATCATGTGTAGCACTGAGCAGCGCTCTTAAGCAGGCAATGTGCAAAACTTGTTGGATAGAGAGGTTAGACTTTAGGTGTAAGATTCCTACAGAACTTCTGAGGTTTTGTGTTCATACCTTTAGCTCTGCGTGAAAGAATGGAGAGTACTTTGAAAATTCACTTTTAGTCTTTTTAACCAGTTTCTGTTACAAGCACCTGAAGGGAAACGTGGGTTTGGAAGAGTTGGGGTTGTTGCAAATTTCTGTATATCCTAAAGCTTCGCGTGAGAGTGAATCAGTGCTTGGGTACAATCGGTGATGATGGTGAAAGCTTAAGCCTTCAAGAAATGTGCCCCTGAGAAAAGATAGCTATGCAGCTAATTTAAAGAAAGAGTCACTGGTGAGTTTCTAGGAGACCTGGTGTCTTCCAATCATATTTATCCTAGTATTTTTGAAAGGTTTAACTTCTTCTGCCACTGTCATTTGATTAGGTTAGTACTTCATAGCACTTCAGTGGTTATTGATTTGACTCTTTTTTGTCTTTATGAAGGGAATAGAATGAGAAGAATTACTCTTCAATAAATAGCTGCCTCCATTTGTTGCTAATTTTTGGCTTTTGGCATTGTGAGATGTCATTGTAATGTTGTTTTTTGTCTTTGGCATGGAATGAGAGAACTGATTTGTAAATTCCTAACTGACAATCTGTTTACATGACCTTGTCATGTTTTACTAAGTTATAAAGAGAAGAAATAGTTTGAAGGTTTTTATGCTTTAATCTGTTGGTTTTAATTTCTAATTCTGAGAATAGACTATAAATCAAGCACAGCATTTGGGTTAAAAAATATGTCGAGGAACACTTTTTATATCTCAGAAGGCATATAATTTGCATTACTGTGTAATGCAGTATTTGTGTTTTAGCAGAAAAGCTTCATCCTTTTTTGAGTTAATACCAAGAGAGCTCATGTTGATAGTAAAACAAAACCAAAAAGCAACTTTCATTTTAAAGAACACCTGCAATGAATAAATGTAAGAAGGAGCCAAAGGAAAATTGCTCATTTAAGTGTGTATTGTTAAGTTTGTGATATGGGGATTGTTTGTTTTCTTTAGGTGCTACAAACCCATATACAGAAGCAAACTATAAGCCTGCTTTTCTATCAGATGATGAATTAAAACATCTTATTCTCAGGGTACGTTTCAGCTTTTAATTAAGAGGTATTAATGGCTGTGAATATAACTTTCCCAAAGCAAAACACCAGTATTTTTCTGCCTTGTATCTCAGCTTAAGTATGTTCTGATTATGGCAGATAATGTAGAAATCTGCAAGACTACTGCATAAAGTCAATGGGTTTTAACAATGACTAGTGTCTCTTAATTTAAGCAGAAAGGTTTAAGAGGGTGATCTGAGGAAACTGATATTTTGATGGTAACCATCAGAATCTTCAGTTATTTCATGGAATGAACCAAAATTACATAAATTGTTTTCTGCAGTCTTTCTGCCGTGGGCTACCTTGACATGATCTTCAGCATACAATGATATAACAAACACTTTTTTTTGAGGTCACTGATGTAACATGACTTAGTATGTTTGGCTGCTTGCTGTGTACTTCTTTTATAGTGTGGAGAGTATAAATCACTTGTCAATGGTTAAGCTCTTCTAGTAGCTTGTGTAATTTGTGAAGCACTGCAGTGTCCAGGTGCAGTATATGCAGAATTTAATTTCTGCAGCATTGTGACTTGAAAGCTATAAAATTAGGGGCCTAATCCTTCATGCTTGTACGTGACTGAAAAAGAGTACTATTGAAACGGGAATTACTTGCCTACAGGCACATAAATAAATATCCAGGTTATGTTTGGTTTCTAAAAGAGGAACTATGGAATAAATACAGTTAAAATAATATTTTAATTTGAAGGCATTATTAAACATAATCATAATATTATTGGACAAGACATGGATTCTTTCTTCCCATACAAGTGACTTTAAATTCTGGGCATGATGCCCAGAATGATGCCAAAAATGTTTGCTGATGCAAATAAAACCTTTATTGTAATTTCATATCTTGCTTGTTGACTCAGTTATCTCTAAATGTTAAGACAGCTGTCCTACTGTTTGTTTCAGAATCTGTCTTCAAGATCCTCAACTACAGTCAGGTATTCTTTTCCATTTTAAGTGATGTTAGGCCTTAAAAGATTTAAAAGTGGGTTTTTTAATGATTATATGTTTATATGGAGGGGTATTTATGTGATTAGTCTGTCTTGAAAGCTGAGATTTGTTGCAAAGAAAGAGCTTTTCTCTGCTGTGTCATTAGAGAAAATTGTTTCAGGTTTCCATTCAAACTGAGGAGGTGAAAAGGAACTAACTTTACTTCACTGATGATTGCATTCTGATCAGGGATTTACCCTCAGGCTTATAAAAAGGTTCTCACCCTAAATCCAAAACACAGCACTGTACCAGCTACTAGGAAGGAAATTAACTCTATCCCTGCCGAAACCAGGACAGTTACCTAATTGGGAGTGTAAGCAAATATTGAAAAATCAGTCTAAGGTTCTTCCAATAGCTTCACGTGAGGTTTTTCGACTTAGTTTTCTTTCTGTCTGTTCTGGTTTTGCTAGCATACTTACTAATGGAAACTGGGAAGCAATTATACCAAAGCCAGGTTTTTAATATATGCTTAACGTGAGGCTTAACTTATTCTTCATTCTTTCTGTCATCTGTCCTCCTTACCAAATTTAAAAACTGTATTAGCTTCGAAAGTTTTCCTCAGCCAGTCTTTAGTTAGGTATATACTAAATACCTACTCATCCTGTAAATATTGAAAGAGAACATTTGCAATTATGATTTTTTCCTTCAAATGTGTAGCATATGAAGTGAGACTGAAGATAAACCAGAATATTTGGTGGTGGTGGATTAAGCATGCTATTTCTGCAAAACTCTTACTGAAAAGAATGAAATAAATTACTATGTCATGTAGTCATAACTTAAAAATATACAGAGAAAACGTATCTTCCACTAAATCCTGGATCTCAGATGTGTGATGTTCCTTGGTTAGACCTGTATGTAAAAGGGTTGTTTATAATGGATGCTAAAATTGATAAAATATACTGAACAAATATCTTAATTTTTGACTGAATATTCAATCTCTACAGAATGATTTGATTGGTCAAAGTTTATTTGATTACCTTCATCCTAAAGACATTGCCAAAGTGAAGGAGCAGCTCTCTTCTTCTGATACTGCGCCACGAGAAAGGCTTATAGATGCAAAAAGTAAGTATCACCACCTTTTTCAAAAGTGTCATGTAGCCTGAATATTTGTCTAATATCGGAAGTGTGTGTGTGGGGTGCTGTTTGGATTGTGTGTCATGCCAAAGAAGTTTTAGCTTAAAGAAAAAAAAAATAAAAAAAAGAAACAGATACCTGAATGTAGAAGCTAGTAGGTTTGGCATGTGCTGCAGTATAGATGTATTAGTTTAACTGGCTTCACCTGTGAGGTATCCTCTCTTTTTCCAGGCATCAAAGGATTAATTTTTCCCATTGAAGCATTTGTTCTAATCTGTCATTCTCAATGGTCAGAAAACACTCAGTATTATTTTAGTTATCCTTAGTTGTCAGTCAAGATAGAGGAATTTATTACTGCCACTTCCATCAATGACCTAACCTTTCTCTTACAAGGTTTTTAACCTGCTACTTGGAATCATTTCCTGCTATGTCTCTTAGCTCTATTCTACTTTAGTGTTTTAAAGTAGTTCTGTTATCTGTGCTGCTTTTGAAGTGAGTGGGTGTTTAATTCACTCTCATAACAGGAGTCTGCATTGCTTAAGTAGAAGATTGTATCTTACAGCTGCAGATTTCCAGGTCATTAAGTCTTACTCTTGTCAGGAGCAGAAGTCTCTAGGATCTCATTTCAAAGAAGCCACCAGCTCAACTTCAGAAACTGAAGCTGAGAGAGATTGTTCCAGGGCAGTGAGCCTAGAGGCTCCAGCTGGATCAACTGAAGTTTTTCTGGCTCCTGGTTTTGTCTGGTTGTCAAGCATGTATAGCCAGTGCTAGCTCCTTTTTTTGCATGCCTCTGACAAAGTTAGGGCAAAAATAAATACTATGAATTACAGTCTTCCCATCTGCTATGATAGACTGATTGGTAGAATTTCAAGAACTCATATTCTTAAGAGTACTAGCATGTATGTATGTATTTTTATGTTGGCGTGAGTGGCTCGGGCACAGCTTGTACTCTCACCCCTGAGGCGCAGTTTAGAGTGCATGTGGTGCAGGATAGTCTGACCTCGTTGAGGTGACCTCACTCAATTCTAATTTTAAGGGAGGCACACTTTATGCTAAAACATCGGCATTGTTGTTTTCCTCCTTAAGTTAAAAGCCTACAGGGCCCTAGAAGTTTTTGTACATGTTTATAGCTGTTTGTTTATACATATCCCCATGCAAAAATGGTTGAAGTGGATAGCAAGCTGTGGAAAAGTTGCTATGTGATTTAAATCCTCCATCAGCTCTTGGAGCACTGTCCCCTGGAGCTCCAGCTGCATCACTGGCGTTGCTGATACCTGTGCGCCTGATGCATGCCAGGCATCTTCCTGGAGGTCTGGTTGTACTAGCACTCTGCTGTTGGCTCCCAGAGTTGATGTTTGTTTTGGTACTGTGTTTCTCCAGTTACTTCCACAGGAAAGAATCTCCTGCAAGAATATGGTAAAGGTCAGGACTTACTGTTAGGGCGTGTTCATATGCATTTATTTCTTTGAGGCTAGAGACTTACACGTAACTGGAGATCTTGGGGATTTGCAGCCCCTGTGTAGGTCACTGCTACCTTTTTTCCCCCCTTTCATCAGAACAATGAAAAAGTCTGATGTTTAGGAACATACCAGTTGAGGTGGACCTGGAATGTCACTGGGCCTCTTCTGCTGTATGCATGCATCTGTGCTCTCTGGGTGGGTGTTGTGATAGGAAAGTCTTCCAGTCTGAAGGGTCATGAGCCTACTGAGTGACTATATGTATGAAGTACTGCTCTGGTTATGGGTAAATAATCTCTGTCTATTTTTAATCAGTTCATTGGTGTTCAAAGAAATCACAACATTTACTGCAAAACTTGTGTGGATTTTTACAATCTTTTGCTAATCTTTGCATTTAGAACCCTGTGTTCTCAAGCTTGTGTCAATGTTTTCACACTAGAAAGTGTAATCAGAAATTCTCATGTTGATATGGTCAGTTGAGTCCTGCACATACTCAGTCACATGAAAAACTCCAAAATAGGACTTCTGCTTCTGAAGACTATAAAAGGACTTCTGTGTAAGTCCCAGCAAGGTTGAAAGATCGTACAGTTGGGTTGTATGTAATAATTTGTATGGTTAACTTTTTACCTGACAAAGAAGGCTTCCTCACTTTCTGTGTTTGCTACAGCTGGACTCCCAGTTAAAACTGATATAACACCTGGGCCATCGCGACTATGTTCTGGAGCAAGACGGTCCTTTTTTTGTAGGATGAAGTGCAATAGACCTTCAGTGAAAGTAGAAGACAAGGATTTTCCATCAACCTGTTCAAAGAAGAAAGGTAACAATTACGTATTTTATTACCAAATGTAATGGCTGTCAGACTTTTTTTTAATACAGTTGCTCATTTGCAGTGGTTAATTTTTTTTTTACATTTATTGAACACTGACAATGTTTCTTATTAAGATACTGAACTGTGTCTAGGTCTGTTACTTCTTCATACTTCCCTGCCCCCTCCCCTGCCCCCAGTAGCTCTGTAGCAGCATATAAAGCCGAATTCTCCTCTCTGCTTTCTTGAAATTTTTGCAGGCAGTTTGTGCTGACAGTTCTGGTGTGATTATTGCATCTTCTTCAGACATTGCTCATGTGACATTCAGTCTTGACCTTCTAGCCAATGTCTCGAACAAAGGGGAGCTGTTACCCATTCTATTTCTCTGCCCCATATTTGACAAGTGATATTTGGATGGATATCCAACTTAAAAAATGAGTTTATTCTGAGTTCATCTGTGTTTTTGGTACGTCCCGAGTACTGGAAACATAGCATTTCTACACCAGAAGTATTTGGTCATAACCTTATCAAAGTTGGTAATAATTTTTTTCCTCTGCAGGGTATTATTCTAGACATGTTGGAGTATATATTTAGTCCAAATTTGAAAATTTCTTTGAGTACTTTGGATAATACATTTGGTATTAGTTAGTGGAAAGTGTCAACTAGAGAACAGAAGGCAACTTCAGTGTTTTGTCTCTGGATGTGACAGCTGCCCCAAGTACTTCCTGCTAGTTTCAGACACAGCTTCAACCTTGGATCGTTCTTTAGTGCTCATCCCTGAGGAAACCAGTTTGTGCAGTTAGGCATAAGCCTTTTACTCTGCCTCTCTATGAAAGTCGTCTTCCTTGCAGTTATATTCCTCAGCACTGAGCAGGCTTAAGAGTTCTCCTTTCAGATACCGACTGTATTACTTGTCAGTGTGAATCTTCATCCTCACCCCTATGTACAGCTATCCCCTGTGCACCCCAAACAGTGTATATTCTGCCAAACAAATTGTTCCAGTTTTTTGTAGGAGCCTCATGTTAAGTTGAAAAAGGCATCTTATTTATTAATATACTAATTTCTTCAAACAGTCCTTTAGATTATTTGCATCCTTTGAAATAATAAAATGTGATGCAATTTCTACTTGAAGATTATCAAAAGCAACCTTGGTCTGAACTATGTGGTGTTTCAGTACACACAGTGGTTTTGCAGAGATAAGTTGTTTATTGAACTATCTCAGATTAGCTGTATTGAAGCAGGAGTGCTGAACAATCCCTTAGTGAACAGTATCCCAAATTTCCTGGGTAAAAGAGGAGAGGCATTATTAGCAGAACTGAGATGACGTTCTCCAAAGCAATATCCGTGACCTAACTGCTTTTTTGTGGTTTTTTTTTCTTTTTTCTTTTTACAGCAGACCGCAAAAGCTTTTGCACTATTCATAGTACAGGATATTTAAAAAGCTGGCCGCCAACAAAAATGGGACTAGATGAAGATAATGAACCAGATAATGAGGGTTGTAATTTAAGCTGTCTTGTTGCAATTGGACGGCTGCATCCTCATGTAGTACCACAGCCAGTCAACGGTGAGATCAGGGTGAAACCTACAGAATATGTTTCTCGACATGCAATAGACGGGAAATTTGTTTTTGTAGATCAGAGGTAAGAATACTTGTAATAGCTTCCACGATAAGTCACTGTCCAACGCTGCTTTACTGACAGCTTTACTTAAAGCAGTGTAAATACTATTGAAAAAAGGAATGACTGTTCTTTTCAGCTTTTTACTAAATCCTGACTGCAAGTTATTTTGGTTTTTGAGACCCAGCTCAAAGCTATTACTGTGTATTTATTCAGTATTACTGATTAAATTTAAACAAACAAAAAAACCTCCAAAAAAATGGCTTACTATACAGAATAATCCAGGGATCATTTCTGCCCATTTGTTAAGGGAATGTATATATGTAATCCTCAGAAGAATATACTGTCCTATTTTTTAAACTGGACTTTGTAATTACTACCTCTTTGTTGTTTGAAAACTGTTGCAAACACTACGTAGTTAAGTTATTGCACAGGCTGCATTAGGCTTTGATAGCGTATACATTTATTTAACTAAATACTTGGACATATTCTGCTGGATTAATACTTCTGTATGTGATCTTTTGTATTTGTAAGAAAGAAGGCTTTTCATAAGCTTTACTTCTTGGAAAAGGTTTGAGAACTTGTACCAATGTGATATCTTCTTTCAAACATCCATTTTACTTATTATCTAAAAGGCTAATTCTTATCTTTTTGAAAAGAAATTGCTTGGATTTTCTTAAGTAGCAGAGACACATGACCTGGGTCTTCCATCGAAATAACTGGCATCATCAAGGGAAAAAGGATGGTCGAAGGATGTTAACGGAGGGGTTACGCTGGGTTGGTTGAAGAGGGCTTGTTTGTTTCCCTTCCTTGTCAAGACGGGTTGAGACTGCCTAGATGAGGCTGTTTCAGGTTGCCTGTGGCTGAGGCTCAGTTACTTACTGTGTAAAAAAAGCCCAGGCTCCAAACTCTGCCAGAATCTGCCTGCTGGAATTTGTTTCAGGGGTGTGTCTGGTGTGTCAGCTGATTTTTAGTGGACTTTGAGAGGAAATAGAGCTGATAGTCTTGAGAGGAAGTGCAGTAAGGACTCTTTTTTTTTTTTAATGTTATCTATCTGGTTGAGGTGGTTGGGTTTTTTGGTTTTGGGGTTTTTGGTGTGTGGTGTGGGTTTTGGTGGGTGGGGTTTTTTTTTGTTTTTTGGTTTTTTTTTTTGGTTGGGTTGTTTGTTTTTTGTTTTTAATTTGATAGAAAGCTTTTTGAAACACCAGCTTTTCTGCAGCAGTGCTTAGAGCTGGTGGTCACTCTGGGAACTATGAGAGCATTTGTAGCCTTTCTGTTGCTCAGAAAGTATGCCGTTCTGTCATGCCAAAGTATGGTAGTTTATGAGAGAGAGTTGGGGTTGTTCAGCCTAGAGAAGAGAAGGCTTCGGGGAGACCTTCTTGCAGCCTGTCAGTACTTAAAGGGGGCTTATAAAAAAGATGGCGGCAAACTCTTTAGCAGGGCCTGTTGCGACAGGACAAGGGGGAATGGCTTTCAACTAAAGGGGGGTAGATTTAGACTAGATATAAGGAAGAAATTTTTGACGCTGAGGGTGGTGAAACACTGGAAGAGGTTGCCCAGAGAGGTGGGGGATGCCCCATCCCTGGAAACATTCAAGGTCAGGCTGGACGGGGCTCTGAGCAACCTGCTCTAGTTGAAGAAGTCCCTGCCCACGGCAGGGGGGTTGGACTAGATGACCTTTAGAGGTCCCTTCCAACCCAAACTATTCTATGATTCTATGAACGAGTTTTATTTTCAAAAGATCAGATGTATTCCCCTGATGGATAATTTTGAAGTATTTCTAAAATAGTAGGACTCTGAAAATGTTGACCCGTTGGATTTAAACACATATGCTCTTATTTAATTGTTTTCCAGCTGTTGTTTAGAGACCTTGGAATGCGTATACTACTTCAAAGAGCTTTTTGAAAGGGAATTTTTGAGAAGTAAGCCTCATCTGTAGGCTTCAACTTGGCATCCTATGATCCGTGCTTCCACTGGAGAATGTTTAGACACCTGTAAAAGTTGAAAACTACTAATTTATTTCTACGTTGGGTTTTTTTTTTCCATATAGACTTGCACGGTTGCTTTGCCATTTGCCCAAGGGAATCTAGGAAAGAAGCACTTCTTAAACTCTCTGTGACCCTAACTTTTTGTCCTTACGGGTTGCATGGTCCCTGGAGAAGAACTGCTATAGATTAGGTATTAACTAGCTGGGCTACCACAGACAGAGAACTACTTAACAGTTCACTGTCAAAATGGCAGGCTGCACTGAACAGAGCTTTAAAGAGAACCATCCCACCTCTTACTTTCTCAATACTTTTAATGACTCTGGATGGTGAATTTGAGAGTAAGATTAAGTTTATTATATAGGCAGATGACGTCATATACAGCTTCAGAATTCAGAGTTGCCTTGTTAAGTTGGAGAAGCAAGCTAAGGAAAAATAAAGGATGAGATTCAAGAAGGGCAAGAACAATTTCCTTCCTTGCTTAATAGAATATGGTCAGATCTTGAATTCATTAAGTCTTTTGACATCTGCTGTAATTTGGTGCATCTTCTTTCCAAAAAGCCTGTTTATCCTGCTATGAAAGTAAATTTAAAGGGCTGGACAAGTCGCTTACTGATGCCCATATTGGTTGTTGCCCATATTGGTTGTTACCCATCTATGTCAGGTTTCCCACCACTGCGGTGCTGTTAAAAGGCTTGGTTACTTCAGTTCTTGCAAAGATACTGGAATAAGATTTACTTGGTCCCTGGCTCTTCCTTTTTAAAGATAGACTCTACATTTTGATGCTTTTGTGGTTCTCAACAGGCTCTGAGATAACTCATCAAAGCAGTCTTGGAGCTGTCAGCAGATTAAGTAAGCAGATAAGATTCACCTATTATTTGAAATAAATAATTCATCAAACCTATTATTCAGATAAGCTGTAAGCAGATAAGATTCACCAGACAAAAGCCAGTTTGAAAAGTTCTCTCGTGAATACTTCTAATGTTTCCTTCTCCAAGGCTGAGGTCTTAGAGCTCCCTGTCAATGAGGACTTCAGGTGTAAGCCTCCTGGTTGGTGCTGAATGCTTTTAGTGTGTGTGGGGAAAATACAAAAATGTAAATACTGGTTTTTGTCAGTGGCACTTCATTTTTTTTTTTTTGTGCTTCAATGCTTTTCCTGCTGTTCTTATTCGCAGTTATTAATGTGTACTAATTTCTATATTTTATAATACTTCATTTGGGCTTTTTTGAGATTGCAGAAGAGGTGATGGACCTACCTAGCTTTGTTCCTTATTACCCTTCCTATTTAATTTGCATTGGAATAGTTTGGAATTGTGAATCTTATACTGATTTCTTCAAGGAACTATCATTTTTCCTTCAGTAGATTTTCTTCGAAGAAATGTACAAAATCGAAGTTCACTGTAGTTCACTAGTTTTGTTTGCTCTCTGTTCTTCTAGTGAGGATCTCAGACTCTTACCCTGGAGTCATTCAACCATGTTACTTTCTATCCTGATGTTCTTCAGCAGTTTCTCTAGGGCTTCTGCAGGTTTGATTCTGACAGTGTTCTCTGTCTTCTAAATTAAATGGTGTGCATTTCAGGGTCTTCCTGGATGGCTTTTCTTGCTTTGTTCCTATCTCAACTGTTTGTTCCTTCACTGGGAAGTCTTAGAATGATTTCCCAGGTGTTGGCTGTGTTCTGTGCACCATGGTAGCAGTAATGTACTGTCTCTCCCTGATACCCTCAAAAGTCTGTCTTATGCTATCTTCTGGGGGCTGGAGGCAAGCGTACACATCCCTAATGTACAAGATGACAGCAATTCTCCCCTGCCCCTCTCTCCCCCATCTGTTATTTTTCATCTTGGTATTCTGGGTTAGATGAGTTGTTGTGGTTTAACCCCAGCCGGCAACTAAGCACCACACAGCTGCTCGCTCACTCCCCCCACCCGGTGGGATGGGGGAGAGAATCGAAGAGTAAAAGTGAGAACTCGTGGGCTGAGATAAGAACAGTTTAATAGGTAAAGCAAAAGCCACGTGTGCGAGCAAAGCAAAACAAGGAATTCATCCACCACTTCCCATCGGCAGGCAGGTG